AATTCCCATACTAAGGAGTACGTCTTACGTACTCATCCTTGAAGCACATAGTACAAGTGTTTGATGCATGAAACACCCATTATGCTGAGGATACTCCTACGTATGCACAACGTACCCATCAGAGACCAAAAATCCATATGAAGCTCTTAATGGTTAAGATAGTGACTTCAAGCTCTGATATGACCCTAATGAGATGTCTTAACATGTAAAGTTGGCAACTTTACTCCTTTGCATGGCTTAAAGGGACCAAAACCTTAATAAAATCCATAGAAAACACCCAAATTCATGCTTGGTCCAAAAATAATTCATCAAGATGACATTTTTATGAGCAAGGGACCTCCCAAATCCAAGATCCAACATTCTAAGCTCTTGGAGTAGCTCATACTCACAAGGATGACTCTAAAGACCAAAATGAACCCAAAAAACTCCTTGAACTAGATGCAACACTTAGAGTTATCAAGATAGAAACTTTATACCTCCAAGAGGTAGATCAAGATGCAACAAGCCTGGATCCAAAAGCTTCAAGAAATCCCATACTTCTCCAAGAAGTTCCTTCTTTTTCCATAAACACCAAAAATTAGGAAATACCAACAAAAGCTCAAAAACACTCAAATGGGGGCTATGGTTTCGTTTCTAGGGTTTACAGGGATGGAGACTGAAGATAATAGGGTTGTGTGGTGAGTTAAGGAGTTTAAATAGGGTCCAAGACCCTAAATTAGGTTTTGGATCTGATTGGAGTACACCATGCGTAATTCTGGTACGCCCAGCGTAGTCCAAGGAACACCCGCGATGCATCTGCTTAGTACACCCTACGTACACCAATGTACACTCCACGTACTGGACTAAACACTAGTACGCCCTGTGTACACTTATGTATGCCCAAAGTACTCAGTTTAACCCTAAAACCACCAAACTTCTGAATGTCATAACTTCTTTGTTCTAAGTCTGTTTCAAATGATCCTTATATCCACGGAAAGGTAACGAGAAGCTCTACATTTCTATCAACTCATACTTGCCTTAAAACATCCCTAAATAAAATTCATTTTCCATAAAAGCCCGAACTGACACTTTACCAATATATCCCCTTGGCTCCAAATTACAAATTGGGCTCTCGGACCACCTAAATTACATTACCCACACCTAAATGGTCAAGGCAAGAGTCAAAGAGTAAATGGTCAAGGAAAGAGTCAAAGAGTCAAAGAGTAAATGGTTTTCATTGCGTAAATGGTTTTCATTGCGCGTTGTAGGTCACCTTTGGCATCACGAAACACCACGACCACGCTCGACGACGAAGGTTCGGAGTCATGTGCACGAACTACAATCATGGCCACATAGACCACAACCCTTCTCATTGTGACCATTGCAGTAGACCTTACTCGATAATGGTGATATGAAGGTCGAGTTTCATTGTGGCAATGATGGTTTAAGGGATCCTTGAGTTCACTGACGGTTTTGTGGCTCTCTAGATCTTCGACGGAGAGAGAGAGAGAGAGAGAGAGAGAGAGAGAGAGAGAGAGAGAGAGAGAGAGAGAGAGAGAGAAAGAGAGAGACTATTTTATTTTTAAATATACAAAAGAATTAAATAAATTGAAAAGGTAAATAAAAAGGTAAATCAGTACTTCAGTTTCGGTGAGGATCAAATCCACACCAAAAATAGGCTAAAAGGACTAAATCCACAAATATAAAGTTACCGGACCGAATAAAAAATGATGAACCATATACAAACAAATTATGAAGTGCAATTAATTTATCTATAATTAATTTATATCAACCACATCTACAACCCCATCAAAATAATATGGGCATGTCTCCTCCCTTAGAATTTGACAAGCGGTCTATTCTGAAACACATAAATCTTCATTTTAAAAATATTGGTTGAATATAGTTTTACTACCAATCAAATATATATGTCGATGCTTGAACATGTGGATTGAATTAAAAATTTAATAACAATAGTATATATATATATATATATATATATATATATATATATATATATATATATATATATATATATATATATATATATATATATATATATATATATATATATATATATATATATATGGAAGTGGTTAAAATGAGAACAAAAAAATAGAATAATTTTTTTCTAAAGTTTTCTCATTAATAGCATTTTGAACAAATCAAACATTAATATTATATAAAACAAGTATCTCATTCCTTAGTTTACAAACAGTTGTCACTTGTCGTCGGACCGTTACAGACTATCGTCACACTAACAACAAATTTAGTGACATTTTCTTATTGTATTTACAACTTAATGGAACCATTATTATAGCTCTTATTTCTCTGGTAATATATTTGAGCACACATTTTAATTTTTGCAGTTAGATACACAAAATTTAAGAAAAAAAATCATGCCTTAACAAATTTAATTTTTTCTCGTCTATGTTGTAGATTTTTTTTAAAAAAAACTGTATGGTTTATAAGACATTCACAATTCAAAATATCATATTCATAGTTTAATAAACATTGTACTTCACTACTTAATAGTCTATTATTTTAATGCATACTCTTATTCATACTTTAACACAAAACTTATATAAAATACAAGAACAAATAAAAGTACTATGCATTAATAATAATAAAGGTTGAAATTACAATGATGTAGTAGAAAGAAATTAAAGTAAGATATCATGATACACACAAATAATAATAATATATTGTTATTTCTTCCTATCATAGTAATTTTATGCAAATACAAAGCAATTTTTATTGCTACAACCAGATAGATTTCTCAAATTATAATAATAACAAAAAATAAAACGACAAAATAGAAAGCATTAATAAATAGATTTCTCAAATTATAACAACTAGAAAAGATTCCCCCGCACTGCAGGGGTTTAAGGGTGTTCACTGCGGGGGTTAAAGGGTGTTCGTTTGTAAAGTATGTTGCTAATGTTAGTTAGTGTTACTATGCAATTATACTCTCTTTTTGATCAAACATTACATCCTTCGGTAGTTATAGTTTTCTCATAGTGCTTGAACTTGCGTTTCTTAGAAGTTCTACCCACCCTTGAAAATCTTGGAACTCATGTGACATGCATTATATCTTCCACTTACTCTAAATAAATCTCTTAACTGTTTCAAGAGGATACAGGTAAGTTAGTTCGGGTATAAGGTTATTTACGGAAATCCACAACACCAACTGGGATTCCTTGGTGTATGGCCACTTTCTCTTATGCATGGTATGTTGAATGCTAAAAATATGGTGTTGTTGTTCAGTTGCATGTGAGTGTTTTTTGAATGTGAATCGACAGTTTCCCTTCTTAAACAAATAAAAATCTCATCTCATAGGATTAAATGTCACATAAGAAGGTTTTTCTAACCTAAGCAGTTAATTCTAACCCGTTTTTGTGTTGGGTGTCATCATTGCACACTTCGAACTGACTTGATTTTGAATTCATATGTTCCTTTTTTATGCTTTTTGTCTATCTCCTTCCCTAGAATCCATTTTTTGTACTTTGTTCTTGTTTTTCTTCGACTATTCATCAATGGCTTGCAAAATTTCCAAACCTCCACCAAGATGAAATCTTCTAAAGGATTTGCCTAATTGTTCACCACTGAACTGATCCTAAGAGAAACCACACAACTTTTTCCACTCGAACCCATGGATTACGATGAATCTATTTGTGTCATGGTGGAATTCATTGCTCGTCATCCCATCGTTGTTCCACTTACCAAAGTCCCCAGACTGAACTTCCATCTCCGTCTCCTTTTCAAAGCCTTTGAACGAGTGAAAATCGATGAATATGTTCTTGAATGCATAATTATTTGCGATCACATTGTTCCTGTTCATAAGGAAACCTTTTTGCATGTAATTGGGACTTCACCAAACCCAAAGGGATTAAAGTTTGTAAAACCTATTACTGGTGAATTTCAATATTTTCTTGCAAAAATTGGTTACATGGGCGAATTCAAGGCCAAGGAACGCAACAAATCGGTTGTTCCTGTCATTTGGCCGATACTAATGCACATGATTTTTAGACTCTTGTCTGGAAAACATGGTGGCACTGATACAAAGAGCAAAGACTGGCTATATGTGGTTTATAGCATCTTCATTGGTTGATAAAACGTCGTAGATCTATCGGAAGTCTTATGGCAAGACTTTGTGAATTTCACTAATTGAAGGAAGGCGAACGAAATCTCAAGTCCGAGATTTTGGGCTTTGACTCTGTAGTAGATATATTTCGAACGACAAGAATCCATCCCACTCTCCTCGGATATCCATGGGTTATATTGTACGTTCAAAGCTTTTAAAGCTTATAGGTTGCCAAATCAATCATCTTTTGGACATGTTCAACGTCTTCCTCAACATATGCTTGATGTTGTTCCTTCTGATTCACCTCACAAGAAATTCCATATTGAGACCTCAGTTTTAGCTGACTTGCTAAATCCTACCCTGGTCTCGAATGAGTATTCATCGAAAGTGAATAGAGCTGCCACATCACGATTTAGATAGAAAAATATTGCCAAGAAAGGAAAGAATCACCCTCTAAACTTAAAGCCAAAAAGAGAGCCAAGACTGTGAATCGTCTTAAAAGGATTCATAGATTTGTTTCGGGTCTAATTCTAGGTCTTTGCCTACCCACCTACCCACTCTTTTGATGCACCCATCAGAGTTTCAAAATCACAACCACACACTCATAGGGAGTTGGCACATAATCTACCCTATGCTCTCAAAAGGTTGGTGTCGGTATTGAACAAAGTCCATTGGATCCCCCTGGGAAAAATCACGAGTCACTTCAAACCCTCCTTTTTATTCTACACAAGCATAATCTGTGGACCCTACCACAGGTTCTAATATTTCTTAATTAGGGGTTATCCCTCCAACCCCGAAAGCCACAACCGAGTCGATATCCACCACAGATAAAGGAAGCTCGGGTATCACTTCTAAGTAATGGAATGAAGTTCTTGTCAAGTCTCAAATCAAGCGCCCATATCTAAGAAGATATTAAATAAAGTTTGTGTTTCTTGGAATGAGAACTCGAGAACTTCACAGCAAGCTCACAGTGACACGCCCCACCGGTTCTGATGTTGATGCTCTTTTCCTAATTCAACCAAGCCAAATATCGATGATGTTCCTACTATTACAGATGATTCATTGACCAATAAAGCTAAGAAGACTCTAATTGAAGATGCACCTAGTTGCACTTTCACTCCGGAATAACCTCCTTGGAACAGTCCTCCTGTGGAAGACAAAGTTGAAGTTATGTTCAAAGATGATTCTACCATAATTGTTGCTCTTCCCTCACAAACAATGTTTCCTTTTTTGATACCATCCACATCCAAAGTTCAAAATGACTTCAGATTTTCCTCCTCCTTGAATGAATTGAACATTGAGGATAAGGATGGCGATCAAGGCAATCAAACTTAAGGTGATCAATAAAATAGAACTATGGGTGTTAAATAATCTAATGGTGATCAAAGATCTAATGACTCTATCTCAGACACAAGATCCTCCCATGAACAATTTGTTGATCCTTTCGCTCTCTTGGAACTCTATGGTAATGTTGAGGAAGTCAATTCGAAAGTCGACAATGTCAATACCAAGGTCAAATCACGTGAATTTGAAATAGATTTGGTGATCAAATCTCTTTCTGAGATCAAGTCTGCTACTTTATCGAAACTTGACAGAGCTAATCAATTTGATCAACCTATATTTCTTCAGTTGAAGCGCACCTTGGAAGAAGCTAATGAAAGACACAGAGACAATTTAACAACCACATCTCCATTATCCCTACAATGCTCAATATTCATGACACCATAATCTCTACTACAAATGAAATCATCAAGCAAACCTATGTCCAATATGAAAAACAAATTCAAATATTGGAGAAGAAGATTAAAGAAAAAGATGGAATGAATATGATAATGCTAGAGGTTCTGATCAAGGTCATTCGTTCTGAACAACACGTTGTGGAAACTCTGAATCACAAATTCAACGAAGTTCTATTGATCATGCAAGAAACTCTTGACACCCTAAAAGCATAAGCTCCAACAGTTGATGCATATGACAAGATCACCATGCAAATCAATATGAACTTCCAACGGGTGTTTGAAAAGTTTGATGATTTGAAGCTTGATGCATTGCTTGCATCAGAAGTAGGGCCTTCCCATGCAAAAGGGGGAAATGGTGACTACATAGAAACCAATCTCCAAATTCCAACTCAGAGATAAGACAACGAGTGAAGAAATTGATGACATTGAAGATTAGTTTGTTGAAGATGAGTTGATGAAGATGAGTTTGATGAAAATAACCTAGTGATCAATACAATTTTAGGACTCTGAGCCATCAATGAACAACCGTCTATCATCAAAAACCTCTCGGAAGAGGAGAAGAAAAAAAATGGTCCTCTATTTTTAGGCCATTAAATCTCGCTACAACATTCAAATGTCGTTGCGAAATAGCGAAGTTGAAAACTAAGTTGACTGTTGATGTGTTCCGAGCTACTCAGCCAATGCTTCCTCCCATTCATGCTCAGAGATTTTTTCCTATTGATGAATGTTATCCAATCAAAAAAACAGATGAATTATCTAATGAGCCTATGATTCCTCCTCCGTCCGAAGTTTCATCACTCCTGTTGGTCAATAAATCATCTCTTCCACCACCACTCTGAATGCCTAATGTGTGTAAATTCAACTAGTTTTATCCCTACTTTTTATTAGTAATTTAAGCACACAAAGGCAGTGAACCTGTCTATAAGTGGTATAGATTGATAAGTAAGGTATCGAACTCAGGGAACGGGCAATTAAACTAATAGCTAATTTTAACTAAAACAAATAATAAAAGTAAAGGGTTTTTCTCTAGTTTTGCAAGACTAGAAACTTAAACAAACTAAATTAACTAATTAACTAAAGCAACAACTATTTACCAAATTTAATAAAGATGTTTCTATTTAGGTTCAACCAATTCACTCCTATGGTTATTTAAGTTAAGGTGGATTAATTGCTATTGGTTACCAATGATAATAGTTAGGTTCATATTCATTACTCCTAACCCTTAGACAATTAACTAATTTAAGCGTTGATCAAGTGTTTAAACTAATTAATTCCCTAGATTAATTATTTTGATTAAATAAGATTTGTAATGGTCAATTAAGTTATTAATTCAATTAACCTCTTGTTGATGGTTTCTCAAACAAGCTCACACATTAATCTTCCTATTTTCTTATTAATCTTAGTTTCATACTCATTACTTCCAAGCATACGTTTTAGCATTCACATAGACATATGAGGTTAACAATTAAGTGATGTTCATGCAACCTAATTGCCTTCCAATTAACAGAAAATAGTAGTGATTAATACATAAGGTTCTTTAACAAACTTAATTTAATAAATCACCAATAGACAATTAAACAAGAATTAATAATTAAACCATAGGAGTTCTTTGGTATTCCCCAAACAGAAACAAAAACGAGTTTAGCTCATAGTTGCAGTAGAAACAAACACAAAAACAAAGTTTATGAAAGCAAACATGTTTAATTCCTAAGTCTAAGTGGTAGAATTAACCTAATTGCTTGAATTCTTCCAACTCTTGAAGCTTAGGGTTCCTTAGCGCCTTCTGAACCTTGATCAAATAGATCAAATAGATATGTCAAGTTTACAAAAGGTATGCTCTTTCGGAAAATGACTTTGATCAAATAGATCTTCCCATCTCCCCTCATGGGAAGTTCTATGTCAAGTTTTCTCATTTTAACCAACTGGATGACAAAGAGACTCTTTTCCAAACTGAGAGAGAAATATTGAACACATTGTACCCCCCCCCCCCTCAACGCACTTCCTCAAGACAAAACTTCGTCCATGTTCAGAGTTACCAATTTTAGTGGTTTCGAAACAAAGATTCTCAGAAAATTCAATATAGACTGCATTTTCTACTACTACTACATCTTTCGGAACACTCAAGAAAAGATCAAGATCTTGGATGTTGATATCCCTGCGATAAATCCGAATGAAATTCTTGTCATTTCAGCTCACCTGAAAGACCGACAAACCTTTGAGTTCAACACAGGAGCATACAACTAAACTCTTAGTGGTTGAAAGACTATGTTTTTGAGTTCTGAACATCAAATGTGGAATTTGCTCATCTATTATGAACTGATAAAATTCTCATTGTTGTCTCTGGGGATCTTGATGGAGTTAATCTCCTTGATAAAGACCCTATCAGAGATACTGAGCTTGGATTTGTTTACCTGAAGAAAAGCTTATGCAAGGAGGAATCTAAGTAAGATACAAGCATCTTGTTCCTACCATAATTCCTCAGAGATTCATCTCTAAAACAGATAAGACCACAACTTTTGAAGAAATAAAGAAAGAGTTTGTTGATCACTCAAGTGGTACATTGAAGTAAGAAGTTGGTAGCAGAAATCTTACTTTGTTTCCGTTAAAGAATCAAAGTAGGATTGCTAAGGATAAATAAGGACACTTACGGGAGATTGTTAGTACATGAGAAGCGCCCCTTAGTCAATCCAAAATTTTGTGCATTTCCGAAGTAGTATAAACTCCGAGATGAATGTTTTTATGAGGTATATAGACTTTCGAGAAGTTGTTGCTTCAAAATTTAGTCAATGTGTTCTGATAGAAGTAAAAGTACTAGTTTGTTGTTTAATGTTTGTAATGTAGTGTCGTACAACCAACAAGATCAATAGATTTAGTCCATGAACACTTTTCTAGTATTTGCCTTTACTAACTCCTTTGGTTATAATAGGAGTGTTAACCATTGTAATAGTTCATATGTTTTTGAACAAGCTCACTTCTATCAAATCAAAGAATTATATGGTTAATCATTTCTATTTAACATTGTTCTTATTCTTATTTACTTTTCGCTGTTCATACTTTATATTAAATATCCTGAGCACTTTTTAAAGTTATTCACTACAAGGCTTGACTGACTTATCTAGACTTGATGGGATCTTTTATTACAAGAAATCATTGACGTTAGATTAATTTAAGGTTTGAACTCATAGTTTCCTTACTGACATGTATTGTTAAGGAATCCCCGAGGCAATATGTTCTACCTTATTGTTACAAAATCCTCTAGGATATGTCCGTTGAGACTATCACTTTAGAATCGAAGAGTGAGAATAACGGGAATAGGTAATCGAGATTAATTTGTTTGTTATATATACTTAAAACAATATAATAATAATATTGTGGGTTGGAATCCCTATGTGCTAACCAGGATCCCAAACCTAACCCACTCAGTTTCTTTGTATCACTGGTATCGGTAGGAAGAAATAATCCACTTAGAGATTCAAATAGTATAGGACATCAGTACAATGAGTTATTGTAAGACATGTAATGATTACATTTATGCTTATGTTTCTTGTGTCAGTTATGATATCCAAAATTTTATAATAATCAAATAAAAACATTTCTTCAACAATAATTTTTATGGGACAAATTTCGCATTTACAATAAACTTTGTTTTAAAATAAGCATAAATAAAATGGTCTTTTCTGGCCAAAAAAATTGGGGATGTCAAACATTGCATGCCCATGAGAATGGTGAAAAACTCATATTGTCAAAATACAAAACATGCATACATCTGTTGCATTAGGTGTCTAAGCCCATAACTATAATTGGTATGTACTTGACCTGAGAATAGCATGGTCCATTTCGGGTTGCCTTCACCAGAACACTTTGACAGGATGTATATTTGAGAAAAAGGTTATTTGGGATTTATTAATATATTATAAGTATAATATATTAATTGAGAAATCATATGATTTAATTAATATTGGTCAATAATTAATTTGGAATTAATTTAGTGATCAAAATAGATCAATTAAATTAAGGGGACTGATTAAGTAAATTGGTAATACATATAGTTTGTGCCAATGATCCATGATTTATTAGTGATGGACTAAGTTTATGTGAGAGTCCATGAAGTGTTAGTCCATAAGGCTTATCATATGGATTATTAGATTAAAGGCCCAAGGAATGAATTAGGGTTTACAAGTTGAAACCCTAGGAATTCCACACTATAAAAGTAACCCATTAGCTCCAAATTCACTACCCCCAAGGGTTCTAAGAGAACCCTAGCCGATTTTGGTGGTTCTAGCATCTATCACAAAGTCCTCCCTTTGTTCATGGTGTTTGTGACTTGTTTAAGGCATCACTTTGAGGTGCTAAGCTCTTGAAAGGCCAACAACTACAGGCTACAAATAAGAAGTATTATTCTAACTAGTTTTATGATTCGTGTACCAAATTTGTATGCTAGATAGGTTTCATGCTTTGGATAATTTTTTTTGATTCATGTATAACTAGAGAAACTTAGATCCAAAGCATTAGGATTGTATGTGCACCATAGGAGTGTAATAGTACTTAAAACCCAACAACATCATCCAACCGAAAGTCGAATGCTTCCAAATACGGTCCAATTAGAGCTTGATGATGCAATTCTTATATATGTGGCCAAGGAAATTATGCCACAAGCACGATCATTTCTAAATTATTAGAGGAATCAATATTTTCAAGTCATCACTACAATTCTTAGATATACAAACTACAATTTCATGAATGCCAATTTCAAGAAGATGTTTTAAACATAAAACAACCATCTTTATAAATTAGAATCATCACCTTTCCATTATCAAATAAAAATTGATATCCATCTTTATGCAATGCGTAAAAAGAAATTTTGGTTTCTAAACATCTCCGAAGAGTAATAGCAAATAACAAGTTTTATCCTAACTCCACCACTAAGCACAAGCTCAAAATCCTCAATCATCGAGACATGCGACATTTGTCCATCCCCGTGATTGGATTTAGCATTTTGATATTTAACTTCCTTCGTCATGCATCAAGGAACCATGAATATGATGTATTTTGAATTTTATTATTCTAGTAATTGATGTAGAGTCAAACATTTGACTTGACCATCTCAAAATACTTATGGAAACTTTGTTTCCAATGATATTTCCATTGCATTAATTGCAACTTTCCTTTTTTGAATCATAGAGGACACATAAATTCTACACCCTCATAATAGTGAGTTTCAGTCGAAGTCGTTCGTTTTCATTTTGGATTCGAATATTTCCTCTTCTTTCTAAGAACATTTAGAAAGGTGATAACTAGAATCAGATAAGAAATATAATTCCTTTCCAGCTTCTCCAGCTTGGAGAAGGTTTAATGTCATTTCATTTTGGATTCGAATGTTCACTCTTGCCATGCATTTTGGTGAAACATTTCACTTAATTAAAATGTCATTTCATATGTTCAGATGTTCACAAAAATTCTTTGGAACATCGAGGACATAGGTATAATGATGCAAGAAACCTTATTTGACAAATTTACATGTTTATGGGAATAACAACTTATTCAACGTTAACACATTATTGAATTGCAGGATATGGTCATCGAGGATATCTTCTTTTCAAGGAGGATTCCATATCAAACAAGTTATGCCCAAGGGACAAAATATAGGAGCTAGAATTTAAAAATGCATGAGGAGGTGGGATAGGATTTCCATTTTACCATGCAACCCCGCATGATACCCTCAATGTTGATTGTGATCTCACATTGACGTGCCTATTAACCACACACGCTCCATCAACAATCATAATTTCTGAGAATCTACCATCATTTCAACTTTGTATTCCCACATTAGTGTGTCGAT